TATATATATATATATATATATATACTGTATATATATAGTAGTGGTATATATAGGGTGGGTGGGATGTGCTCACACCATCCAATCACATAAGAGGAACCGAATGGCAATATGGTGTTTACAACATTACAGAGAAGGTAGCATTTAAAGGCTTAAAAGCAAAAACTGTTTCTCAATTCTGTATTTAAAGCAATTGACAAATAGTAGCAGGCAAACTAAACTTTAGTGACGGGGCAGCATTGGTCCTGTCGGGCTGGTAATGATCCTGTCTGAGCGTCTTGCACGCTGGCCCAGGGCCATCAGGCAGTCCGTATTGTTGAGCTCTGCCATTGGAAACAGTGACACCTATTTTGAATGACCCAGGGTTAAACATTTGAAATGTAAAAAGCTTTTTTGAGTAGAAAGTTGGAAATGACACACTTAAAAACTGCTATGTATGACACACTTACAACCTTCAAATGCTGTCTGTGGAGGCATCATTATTCAGCTTTCAGATGCAGCAAATGAGGCTCCTATTTCATGGCAATAGTGCCATCTGCTGGTGTTTAATGATATTGTTGGTTCATTATATGACGCATGTTCAACAAGATGTTGTATCTAGTATATCTAGTAACAGCTTCTATAACTTGTTTGGGTGTGTTTGATTAGGGTTGGAGCTAAACTCTCCAGGACACCATCTCTCCAGGATCGAGTTTGGACTCCCCTGATGTATGCTTTAAAAAAGGGGTGCTCAACCCTAATCCTGGAGATCTACCTTCCTGTAACGTTCAGCTCCAACTCTGATTAAACACACCCGAACCCATTAATTAGGACCTGAACAGCACTTGATAATTACAGGGAGTTGTGTTTGATAAGGGTTGCAACGGAAATCTGCAGGAAGGTAGATCTCCAGGAACAGGGAAGGTTGGACACACATGCTACAAAATATAGCCATGCTAATTATGAATAATATACTCAACTAATAGTAATTAAAATAATGAGATTGTATTAGTTTAAAGTTTAAATTGACTCCTATAGCCCAACCTCACGTTTTTTTTTCTGAGATATTTTGCCTGCCAGTAGGTGGCAGTATTTGATTGTTTTATATGTATTCAAACACTGCTTTTTTTGCAGTTATTTATAGTAGGGCTGCGCAATATATTGTTTCAGTATTGATATTGCAATGTGTGTTACTGCAATAGTCACATCGCAGGATATGCAATGTTGAGTTGCTATTATAGCACAACAGTTAAGAATACATGATATTTGTGGAGTCATTGCAAAGTATAAACATAATAGTGAATTTTTATTATTTCCATATGTTTTAAACACATTTCAAGAGAGTTTAAAGCATTTGGACACAACATATTACTGAAATATTATAATGAAGACTACAGTGTTATTTTACATGTCATCATTCAAATTCTGTACCTGAATACTGTTTGACTTTATGGAAAAACTATAAAGTTTATTTAACTTTTTTGTTGCTCTGTTATAATATTTGCTTGCAATTTGTTTATTATTTTGTATACATAATTCACGTCCTTACAAAAGTCACCCTAATCGAGTTCTTTTCAAATAGATCTATTCAAGCTATCTGGTGAAATTGTATTCATATCACAATATATATCGCAGAGAAACAAACTATCGCAATATCAGATTTTTCCAACGTCGTGCAGGCCTAATTTAATGTGTTTATGACAATGTTTTTTTTTTTTTTAATCAAAATGTTAACATTGTGTTTACTACATATTTTAATTTTTAAAAATGTTTATTGGACAAAAGAGACAGATTAAGTGTGTGGAAATGTGTTTTCTTTTTTTTTGTGATCTAATAAACCAAAATCATGTGTATTATGTAAACAGGGCCACTTTGACTTATTAGTGAGTGTATCACTTTCATGCAGGTCCTGTGAACATACTTCTCTAAAGTTTAGTCTCTCATCTGACATTTCTTTTCCATCTCAGGTCCCGACTGCTCTTTAAAGGTTCCTTCGGCTGAGTCCTACTGGTTCCTGCCTAATGTGAAGCCTGATGGCCAGTCACTTGGTCGGGCTTCCCATAAAGCAGTGGTTCATGGGAAGCTGATGTGGGTTATTGGAGGCTTTACCTTCAATTACAGCTCCTTTCAGATGGTTATGAAGTAGGTTACACGCTGGTGATATCATAAGCAGTTTTTTGGTAATATGCAGATGTTATCTTCCACTGCTTATTTTTTCTGTGGTTTTGTAGTTATAATCTAGAGAGCAGCACATGGGATGTAGTGCCAATCAATGGTGGACCCCTACAGCGCTATGGACATTCTCTTGCTCTTCACAAAGTAAGCATGGTCTATTTGTATATCAATGCTGTGAGTGTTTCGACAGACTGTCTTGTGGCTGATATGCTAAATAAGGGATTTACAATTGAGAAGATGCCTCCCTGGTCAATTGTCCATAATGCTACAGGTTTAGCTTCTTATGCTGAGTTTTATATATTTCATCATTGAATGTTTGTGTTGTGTTGCAATAGTGCCTACCAGTGTTTGGAATTTAAAAATACAATGTTCTGGTCTCATTTTGCTTGTATTTACAGTACTAAAGTAATAACAAACAGTAAAAAATATGCATAATTACATGCAACTAAACTTCATCCTAACCAGAAAGTACGTACATTAATTGATTATTATTATTATTATTATTACTTTGAATGAAAAAAAAGTACTTAAATGTAGAGTTATACTGTAACAAGGGCATCATAATATAAATTGTGACCATTATAAAAGCTGGACCGGTTTTGAATCTACTGCTATTTAAAGTGTTATATTATTTATTATTATTTTTTACTCTATATAAACTTTGAGTGTAACTATATACAGTTGATTTAATATTTTAGCTTAGAGGTTAAGTTTTCCATTTGTGATTGATTAACAGTTTGTGTTTAGTAGCCGTTAGTACTTGATGAAATGTTGAATTATGGTTTGGCTTTGTTTCAAAAATATTTGTAAAGTAGTTCCTTTTCTTTTTTGTCACAAAAGTAGTCAATGAGAGCCATTTCTCAATTGATATTTAACAATAATGTTTTAATGCTTGAAAAAGAAAAAAAATTGTGTTGCATTGGCCGGGAATCGAACCCGGGCCTCCCGCGTGGCAGGCGAGAATTCTACCACTGAACCACCAATGCTCACTGGATGAAATGTCGT